TAATCATAACTAGCATGATTCTCTGGTGTTATTTTGACAAATAAAATATGCAGACATTTGAAGAATTTTCAAATATTGTGTGCAGAATTTTTAATGTTTTGGTGTAGAATTTTAATGTTTTGGCACAGAATTCCCCCAGAAGTACCAGATGTAAGATCATGCGTCATTTATTCCTTTTCTGGCAGCTGTTATTTATTCTCCGCTATTAAGAGACTGGTGTCGTGTATTCCTCTCTGACGTGGTGTATCAGTGTCATCCATGGAACTGAAGTTAGGAGGTCATACGCTGTGTTCAGTGCTAGACGGAAATCTGTTGATTTCAATGCCAGTTCCAGGGACTGGTGGCTCTCTTAGGCCACCCTGAAGTTCCTCAGGCTTCTGGCGGGAAGCGAGGCTGCTGGGATCTGCTGCGTTTGGGTGGCTGCCGCAGGATCTGATGAGGAGGGCAGGGGAGAGGGCTGGCTTACCCAAACTCCTCTCTTGTTCCCCTGTTGGTGCCGCTCTAGCTGTGGCTGTTGGACGAAAGGGAAACTCCAGGGACTGGCTATGTGCCACTGTGATCTACACTGGGTTTGCTTTGAGTACAAGGATGCGTGGGGAATTGTCCTGCTTGTCGAGTGATGTTCTGGATTGGCCATGTGGGTTATTAATTATTGCTTCTGTTTTGAATGACTATGCAGCTGGCTAGATAAAAGGTCCCATCAGTGTGTAGTTCTTTGGAACAGCCTTGTGATCCTTTGACGGATTTGCTTGGTTTTCACCCCATACACTATTGGGTTGAGTACCGGGGGCACCAGCAAGTGGACGTTGGCCATTACGACATGGATGTTGGAACCCTGTATCTTCCCAAACCTGTGCACCATGGATAGGCCAATGAATGGCACGTAGAACAGGAAGACGGCACAGACGTGGGAGATGCAGGTGCCCAGCGCTTTGAGCCGGGCCTCTTGGCTCAGACTCAAGGCGGCTCTGAGAATGAAGACGTACGACAGGGAGATCAGCAGGGAGTCCAACCCAATGACAGAGGTAATAACAATCAAACCATAGATTATATTGACCTTTATGTCGGCACAGGCCAGCTTCATCACGTCCTGGTGCAAGCAGTAGGAATGGGAGAGGACTCTGGAGCTGCAGAAGGGCAGCCTTTTAATAAAAATGGGCAAGGGGGCCATCACGGTAGCTCCTCTGATTACCGCTGCCAGCCCTATCTTGGCTATTCTGGGGCTGGTGAGAATGGCTGCGTGCCGCAGGGGACAGCATATGGCCACGTAGCGATCAAAAGCCATGGCCAACAAGATGGTGGACTCCATGGCAGACAGAGAGTGGATGCAGAACATCTGGAGCAGGCAGGCATCGAACCCAATGGTGGTGGAGTTGAACCAGAGGAGGTCCATCATTCTGGGCATGGTGGATGTGGAGATCAGCACGTCGATGGCTGCAAGCATGCAGAGGAAAAGGTACATGGGCTCATGGAGGCTTTGATCGGCTTTGATGATATAAATAATGGTGCCGTTCCTGAGGACGGCGAAGAGGTACAGCGAGCACAGAAGGAAAGCCAGCCAGAAATTCACTGCCTCCAGCCCTGGGATTCCAATCAAGGTGAAGGTGGAAGCGCTGGAGCTGCTGTTGTTGGAAGCTGACATGGGTGGGACGTGTTGCTATTTTCCAGCTGCCTTTACATAAGCCTGGAATCAAAACAATTATCGTTATCAGTATCAGTGTGGCAAGGTTGGGACTTACCACCCAGGGCTTCCTGCTGGTTGTCCTCGGGAATTAGCTCAGTCCAGTGGAGCGCCCTCTCCCGGTGGTGTTCCGCCCGTTGTCTTGCCCTTGGTTGGCGTCTGAGCCCGCATTGCTCTCCAGCTCGTGTTGTCCTCTTCAGGACCACTGCCCTCCTGCAGTGCCCCTCAGTCCATCCACACCCCCTTCTGGGGGTGGGGGGATGATCAGTAGTCTCTCTGCACCCCAGCCACCATGTTCAACCACACCCCCAAAGTCTAATCGCTTCTGTCAGGGATATGGCGTAGTCTATAATGGCCGCTCCCTTTGGCCGATGGCTGGGCGTACTGCAAGGGGGGAAGGGAAGGACTGAGGCCCACCCTCTGCCCGACCCAGGGACCCTCTGGCGGCAGCCTTGCTGTCCTCCTTCTCTCCCCTCATCTGTCCACTTTCCTGGGCCGCTTCCCCTATGGCCCCTTGCACCCGCTAGGCCCTTCTCTTCAGGGCCTGCAGCCTGGCAGGCTACGAGCTAGAGCTTCCTTCTGCTCCCCCTAGCCTGGCCAGCATTGCGCTGTCCAGGTGCTAGTCTCCCAGCTCTGGAGACATACCTTCTCCTCTCGAAGGCCTGGGACAGACTGACTCTCCTCTCCCTGAGCAGCCTTTTTATACGGGTGAGCCTGGCCCTGATTGGCTGTCTCCAATCTGGGCCCCGATTGGCTCCCAATAAGCCCTTCTCTAAGTGGCTGCCTGTCTCTGCAGGCGCATTGGCCTGCTGCAGCCCATACTCTCAGGGAGTGGGGCAGCCACCCCACTACACACAGCAAGTGCCATTCTGATCTCACTGCTGCTGGCCTCACTCTAGTAATGTTAGTGGGTTTACACTGGTTTGAATATGATCAGAATCAGTCCCTCAGTGTCTCCAGGGGCTGCACAGTCTGCAAATATTTCCCAGTACAGTGCCCCAGTCCTGGCAGCTGTTGGCACTCAAATGGGAACATCGTGTAATAGGTTTATAGCTTGCAAGAGCTCGTCTGGGGATAGAGGACACATTTCTTTTTGGTTTGTGCACTGCCAAGAAAATCATCGGCATTATTACAGAGGAGAAATCTGAGACCATGAGACTAGAAATAGGTCAAGGCAAAGGTTTTCCATTGTCCAGTAATCTGGGGCACATCAGACTTTGCATACCCACGTTCACAGGTA